TTCCCTGCCGGAACAACCAGAGCTTTCGTTATTGTGATAGACGCTTTTCAGATGTACGAATTCTACACAAACACCACAGGTGAACAAAAAGATGAGGCACGTGATATCATTGAATCTGGGTGTAGACATTTCATCGCCCATATGTTCGGTGATGATAATGCAGAGGTAGGTGGGTTGCTTAGATTGTACCCATGACGTGGAATCTCTCGAGAGAAGTTAATTCAAGGAGTTAGAAGAGCTGCGACTTTCCAACACGGTGTCACGACAACATCTAGCAGCCCGACTAGCTGTATTAGCAAGCGAAGTGTCTAACGAGGTCGACCGCAAACGAGCCGAGTTGGGTTTTGCTTTTCTTTGGGTTTAAAATGTCCTTACACAATTCGGTATTATTATAGAGGTTCTTTGTCAATATGCAGCCGTATATACTTGGCGTACGATGGTTCTTGTGAGTGTCATGGACACGCGAGCTCATGTGATCCCTTGTGGCATCAGTGCTTGAACTGTACTGACAACACCTACGGGGTACAATGTGAACTGTAAGTGCTTCCTCTGTCTTCCAAAGTGGGATGTGTCAAAATAGAACGAGAATACAATTGATTTTACCAGTTTTTTTTTATGTACAGGGGTGCATGGCTGCTTTCATAGTACACGATTTGTCCCGCGAGAGCGCCGGACGGGGGACTACCCGGCCAAGGGGCAAGCGCCACCTCGGCGCGCTCGCGGGCCAAATCGCGGACTATGAAAGCAGCCAACAACTGTAATCCGTACACGGTTGATGCTTTTGCTTTCATGGCATCTGCTCTGTAGAAAAATTGCGGCTGTGGAGCTTTTAGGGGATACATAACATTCGAGGAAACCTTGGAAATAAACAGAAGTTTTGAATCATCTGGAGAACATCCTCTGCCGAATGGTTCAGAAAGGCGTTAATTCCGCTGCTACTGCTTTTGTTTTTGTTGTAGTCCTAGTATTTGCACCCTGAGTAATCACGATGTTGCCCCGAATAGATGAGGGTAACGTGCTTGCGAATTTTGTTTTAATACGGAGTATGCTGTTACTGGTGCAGAGACGGGTAATGTAGCCTTCAGCACGGTTGCATCTGCATTTATCTTTCACATTACAATCATCGGTGTCCTTTTCTTCTGAATTCCTGTGGAGTCATAGTTACATGTATAGCTGATTGATTCTATGACGTAAAAACCTAATATATGGGAGTTGCCACTTTTGTTTTCTCTGTAGTATGACCCACATGAAAAAAGGTGCTTCCCATGTGGTCCCAGGGGGTAAAGTGTTGGAATTGAAGTGATGTGAATAGTGCTCGGTTTTTACGATTCTCGTTTCACTGCCACTAATAATCGCATTAGATTCCTCGCCTTTTTCCTTCCCTTTTTGGATATACGAGTTTTATTCTTCATGACTGTAGTGAATACATACCTTCAAACCTATTCTGAATCACACTCCGCGATCTTATTGTTCATATCTGGCATTAGTATCCCCCTTGCCCGATGTCATTTGCTCATGAAAGAAGGAAGAGCGATCAAGATTCTTTATTCCAAGTCTAATTCAGAACCGTTATCACTGGTCTCTTCGGGGATGTACTTCTTCTTGTACTGGCAGGCGGCCCTGCGTTTTGATTTGTTCCAAGCGCTCTACCTGACGGCATAGCGCAGTCAGTCTTGCATTAAGCTCCAAAAATTGTTGACCCAGCAGGTCATTCATACGACTAATTCGTTCGTATACGGTCTGTGGTCGCTCCATTCTGAAAAGAACTCCATGAATAAAATGTGACTTAGAATAGGGCTTGATTTGTGCAATCTAGTGAAGATCGTGGAGTAGGAAAGGTTGGATACCTCCATGAAAAAAGTAGTCCTTTTTTTGTAAACCTTATTGTAATTCAAGAAAAAGCTCTTCCCCATTTATTCTCTTCGTTGTTCCACTTTCGGGTTGAACTTTCGGGTTGCCCCTCTAGGCAGCCCTTGTCCACACTGTCACTCTTCCTTCTAGTTCGTGAAGCTAATCGGAGCTGATGGCCCATACCTCGATGGAGTCTGAGTGCTGAGCAGTCCGCTGTCGCCGTTGTAAGCAGGAGTAGGAGTTGTCCGGTCGACTGTGGCCATCGTCATGGATAGTACTGCTAGTATCAGAGGGTAGAGCGTAGAACTTTTAAGCCCGTGGATGTTGTTATGTCGGGAGATGGAACTTCTTTGTGTCTATCCATCATTCAACGTTGAATCACATTCTTTAGTTTGTTCTCTTAACAATCGTTTTGTTTACTTTTTTACGATTGCGACGGAGGTTTGTATTCAACGATTGACGGTCTTTTATCAACTACTACATCTATGAACTTTATCCTTCTACAAAAACATTTTTCCCGAGAATTTCACTGTACAGTGCCTCACTTGTGAATTGTATTACCGTACGTGCTCAGTTTTGAGTGGGCTTTACACCTGGTGTACTAGCAAAAACGATGCATGAATATACACCCAGCACCCAGTTATTTGGGCAATTTTCTGCTTTTTTTCCTAAAATTGACTGTCTACTGAGATTTTGTTTGATTTCTAAATTCTACTGCTAATGTTGTGGGGCTGAAGACGGTTGCGATCCGACCGGGTGCGCAGTGTTTCAACGGCTTGCCGGTATAATGTCTATGACCAGGGCAGGATGTTAATCGGAGTGTTTATTGGCGAAATACTACTGAAAAACTCGTCAAACGTGCTACGGAAAAAGATACTCAAAGGCACAGTTTACGATAAAATTGGTTTCTGAGATTTCCCCACGGGATGAGTTTGAGGCCCCCGCGTACACCATATCTGGCACTATTTTGTCGGAAAACGGCCTAGTTAGGGAGTTATAAGGGCTCAAAGATTGGTCCTGTGTATTCTCGGACGAGTTCCATCGGCATCGTAGAGGCTGAACCAATCACGGGGGAACCCGTGTAGGAAGTTCAAACAACAAACAGCTTGACATGATCCATAGCGACATAGAAAGACAGTTCTGTACAGTTCTGGCTGGATGTAGCCAGCTCTTTATGGAATTGCAATAACTGAAACTCGTCAATGTTAATTCCGTCATGGCAATCTCGTCCAACCTCTATTTTCCCTACTTTTAAGGAGCCATATTTTCCTCGAAATAGGCGTCCTCTCTCGCTTTCTTCACCACCAATGAGCTATTCCCAATCTATACTTCCGCTTTTCGAATCAAAACGGGTACCTCAAAATTATCGTGAACTGTGCCTTTATGTAGGTGTGCAACATTGCCTTGTCACTCGGGCAAGTTCTTCGTACACCTGCACCAAAGGTGTTGTAATATTGGGGGGTAACGGTTCGACTAAGGACGAACCGTTACCCCCAATATTATATTAAGCCTTGATTGATCTCTGGGTTATGTATCCAGTTGTGCCTCTTCATTGTATCGTAATGTGACTGCAGCTGCAATTTGACTTGTTGAAAATCGAAGCTAGGACTTTGATGGAACCTAGATGGTTACCGGAACCGGGAGAATACTTCGCCTAGGCTCAGGCAGCGTAATTTATCCCCAAAGACCAGTCGGCTTACATAACCGTTCCATTAGGCGGTATCGCTGACCAGTTCCTGGCAGGAAACCTTTGGAAAACAAAATTTGGGACCTTGTTTGAGATACTGATCTAATGTCCAAGGTTTCCGTGTGCTTCCTTGCAATCATAATGGACAGTCATGACACCATGTCAATGTGGGGGCAATGTCCTGATCATTGCGTTTTCTCACTTTTTAACACTTATTCTTCAGATGCATGGAATCCTTCACTGGAAATCCACTCGAGGGAGGTTGTACATCTATTGAAGGCGAAGAGACGTCCTGTACGTGCAACAATCATTCTGAACACTGCGATTCTGACGGCAAATGTCAGGTAGTGAGTTGCCTACAATTCAGTTTAGACGATTTCTAAAGGCACTGTTCACGATTATTTTGAGACGATAAACAAGCCTAGAAAAACTTATGCTGCTTGGTTGTGATAGCTGTTTACAACAATTACAGCACAACCACGAACGATGCTTGAAAGCACAGTTCACGATGTGGGGCGAGTGGGGAGCATTTAATCGAGGTTTCAGCCATATGAAACAGCTGGCTACAGTATCCCAGCAGCAAAAAATTCCTTCCATTGTTTCCATAGATCGGGACTGTCTGACACTTCCGGGTTCTCCTCCGTTTCATGTTGATTTGTTATCGACCTCTGGGTGGAGGGAAAGGGAGGGAAGGGTGGTTAAGGGGCGAGAAGGGGGGGGGGGGGGG